TGGATTTTTGAATGCAATCTTAAATAAAGTAAGACCTCACTCACTCACTCACTCACTCACTCACTCACTCACTCACTCACTCATGGAGCTTAGCGCTTCTTGAGAATCTGCCAATTGTGCAACTACTCAAGAACTTCCCAGTATTTTATAGAAACTAAAGTTTATTGCCGTGTTCACAACAGCCCTCTACTGGTCCCTATCCTGAGAAAGATCAATCTAATTCATACCATCCCATCCCATGTCTCTGAGATTCATTTTAATATTGTCCACCCACCTACATCTTGATTTTCCCAATGTTCTCTTTCCTTCCGGCTTTCCCGTCAATATCCTATATGCATTCCTCTTCTCCCTCATTAGTATGACCTCACTAATTCGGACTAATTGGGAGAGAACACTTGTCCCGCGTAAATGTACAAAGTTTTAGGTTAGATCTCTGCCTCTATACCCTCTCGCGACCGATTTTCTAGATCTAGAACGATTTGACTTTAAATCCTTTTTAAAATGGCCCTGATGTTTGCCGTGAGGCCTACATGTATTTATCGCCCGCCACCTATGCTAGCGCTACACGCGGCTGTTTTCGATCATTGATCGCCCTAATGTGATCATCAAGGTTGTCCGAATTAGTGAGGTTTCACTGTATTATATGTTGTTTTTATTTGCAATACTATCAGTTACAACGGCAAGTTGTCCTTTTAGTTAAAAAAACTGGATGTTCTTTATGATATTATGTTATGTTATCTTGTTATCNTGTTCTCTTTCCTTCCGGCTTTCCCGCCAATATCCTATATGCATTCCTCTTCTCCCCCATTAGTATGACCTCACTAATTTGGATTAATTGGGAGAGAACACTTTTCCCGCGTAATTTTAGAAAGTTTTAGGTTAGATCTCGAACTTTATACCCTCTCGCGGCCGATTTTCTAGATCTAGAACGGTTTGACTTTAAATCCTTTTTAAAATGGCCCTGATGTTTGACGTGAGGCCTACGTGTATTTATCGCCCGCCACCTATGCTAGCGCTACACGCGGCTGTTTTCGATCATTGATCGCCGTAATGTGATCATCAAGGTTGTCCGAATTAGTGAGGTTTCACTGTATTATATGTTGTTTTTATTTGCAATACTATCAGTTACAACGGCAAGTTGTCCTTTTAGTTAAAAAAACTGGATGTTCTTTATGATATTATGTTATGTTATCTTGTTATCTTACGTTACGTTACGTTATGTTATGTTATTCGTTTACGATTGTTGATTTATTTGCCTTTCGAAATTCTCGCTACTTTTCATATGCATCTCTGTTTCGTAACAACGAATTGAAAATTTTCCGAAAATGTACGTAATTGACAGAATTCCAGGTTTAATCAGCTATATTTTATGATGCGCACCAAAAATTTTAAACTACTAAGAGATAATTCGATATATCGATAGACTGGAAATGAGATATATCGATAGACTTAATTCATATTTAATTTTTTACCCCGACATCATGCCACGTGCCTCAAATAGAATATTGNTGTTGTTTTTATTTGCAATACTATCAGTTACAACGGCAAGTTGTCCTTTTAGTTAAAAAAACTGGATGTTCTTTATGTTATTATGTTATGTTATCTTGTTATCTTACGTTACGTTACGTTATGTTATGTTATTCGTTTACGATTGTTGATTTATTTGCCTTTCGAAATTCTCGCTACTTTTCATATGCATCTCTGTTTCGTAACAACGAATTGAAAATTTTCCGAAAATGTACGTAATTGACAGAATTCCAGGTTTAATCAGCTATATTTTATGATGCGCACCAAAAATTTTAAACTACTAAGAGATAATTCGATATATCGATAGACTGGAAATGAGATATATCGATAGACTTAATTCATATTTAATTTTTTACCCCGACATCATGCCACGTGCCTCAAATAGAATATTGTAAGGTTTAAGGAGGATATGAAAAATGTATAATTTTCCGTTCATTTCAGATGGAAAATATCACATGCTGCCTTCGGGGGAGTTAATGGTCCTCAACATCACCGCCAGTGACGCCATGAGGTCCTACCGCTGCCGAACTCACCATCAGCTGACACAAGAAGCCGTGGTCAGTCGAAACGTGGGACGAATCCAGCTGACAGGTGAGCAGGAAGTGACGTATAAATATATCATGTTGTAGGAAGTACAGACATTGTGAATAGCGACGCTCTGGAGTGGGTCCCTTGTCATTACGACATGGCGCATCATCAGGTGGAGAGTGGCGGAAATGATTTTTAGATATCTTCGCTGATGATTAATGCAAATATAATGAATACGCAGTTGCAGACAATCAGCAGTGAGTGGTCCTTCAGCTTGGGATTTGTGTTGGGCGGGCCTAAAGAGCCCTAGCCGTACGAGAGGCATCTTACGAAACGTCACATAGGATTCTGAACTGGACCAATTTTCGGAAAATTACCTAATAACAGAAAATGGATGTGGGAATTGATTCTAAAAGGAATCGTGGAAGGACGTGGACTGGATTCATTTGAGTCCTTCTCGCTAGGGACCAGGTCAATGGTCTTGTGACCACGGTAATAAATATATGGACTCCGTGAAATGCAGGAAATTTCTGCATAATGAGGAGCTTCATAACTTGTACTGTTCTCCAAGTATAATTAGAATGATCAAGTCAAGGAGGATGAGGTTGGTAGGGCATGTAGCATGTGTGGAAGAGAAGTGGAATGCATATAGGATACTGGTTGGAAAGCCAGAAGGAAAGAGACCACTGGGAAGACCAAGGCGTAGGTGGGTGCATAATATTATAATGAATCTTAGAGAGATAGGATGGGGTGGTATGGATTGGGCTGATCTGGCTTAGGATAGGGACCAGTGGAGGGCTCTTGTGAACATGGTAATGAACCTTCAGGTTCCATAAAATTTTGGGACGTTTTTGAGTAGCTGTTCAACTTCGCGGCTTCTCAATAAGGGGTCAATTCCATGAAGTTAGTTAGTTAGCTAAGTGGCTGTTAGATTTTCAAGAAGGGCTCTGCTCTATTGAGTTACACATAATAACCGATTTGAGTATGACCCTTCAGAGCGCAACAGTTAGGACCTTTCTCATAAAAGCGTTGTTCATGATTTAATATATAACTCTGTAAGCACGTACCTTCACAAATTAAAAGCGCTGGGGAAAAAATCGAATACTCTGGAGGACAGTATATTCGTGTTTCTATTGTAAAGTTTTCTAACAATAATACTTACTTACTTACTTACTCGGTGCCGCGCCATAGCTCAAGCGATTAATAGCTGGCTTTCCACCGCGGCGGCCCGGGTTTGATCCCGGGTCTGGTCAAGTGGGATTTGTGTCTTCATTCGCATAATGGTGGGTGGAGTCCAGCTGGGTCCACTAGGCACGGCGGCCACTGACTGGCCTATTGTACCTGCCCCGGGTGATTATGATGATGGAGAATGAAGATTGGCAGTGGAAAAGCGAAGTAGTCGGAGAAAACCCGCCCTAGCGCCACTTTGTCCAGCACAAATCCCACTTGACCAGACCCGGGCCGCCGCGGTAGGAAGCCAGCTACTAACCGCTTGAGCTATGGCGCGGCCATCCGTGTGACTAAGTGGTATGCAGTGCTAGTGCTCAATGGAGTTGAACGTTGAATCTCAAATTCTTTCTCACTTTAACCACGAAGAAAACATCCTCAGCACGCATCGATCAAAGGCCAACCCTGAACGTGACGTCAAAGAGAAAAATTCGTAACGCCCATCATGAAACGCTAGTCCCAATTGTAGGTAGCCAAGCATTTCATTTATTGTGGTCAGGTTTTGGTATTAATTGGCTATATCACGCGTTATTGTTGTTTGGAATATTTATTTAAATTTGGAATATCGATCCCTGCCCAAATATCACAAGTCCACATCTATCACATTGCATAAAATGGTTATACTAGCCTGTCAGTGGGAAAATGTGAAAATATTTCTGTATGACAAGTTGTAAGGTAAAGCCTTGAAGCTTCCCAGTGGAATCCCGTACGCCTGTAAAGAAAACGCAGTTTCTCCAATATGTGCAGCAATTGATTCAAAGTTATCAAATAGAATTACTATGTTGTTCATTTACAGTGGTAGTAGGTTTTATATTGTGACATGACACCTGAAAGACAGAATAAACGTTCATTGCTAGGCAACGGTCCTGTAAACAAGTTCGCACGGTATCGAATACTTAAGGAACAATCGAAATAGTGTTGGGCTATAACGATGGAAACATTTTTTTTTGGATCCGTCCCCAAGCTATATAATGAAAATCCAACTGCCGTTGTAGCAGGAGCTACTAAGGATAGGGCATTATCTGCTGTACTGAGCCTGGACTGACAGAGGCCCTGTATATATTGTATATACATTTAGTATAATATTTAACATGTCAAATGTAAATATCCTTTACATTATGACAAATGACTTACTACTGCAGACAATGACTCTTATAAAAGACACCCGTCCTCTCGTCAGATAGGGCGCTCCACAGTAACACGAACTAAACTATCAGACAGTAATAAATATCTGGTTATGAGCCCCAGCTTGGGCTCGACACCAAGATTGACTGACTGACTGACCGTCAGTCGCAGTGTGACTTTGAATTTGCTGAAAATAATTGAGGAAGTCTCTTGAACCTTGAAGTGCGGCCTGTGAAGAGAAGATTTTATGTGTGCTCTATAGTTAACAGTGAGACTGTTATAAATCCGTTGTCAGGATACTACTACTGAAGATTGAGAAGACTTAGCGTGACTTAGTGATTTATATTGTGGAAATCAGCAATAGTGTCATAATTAGTTGTAGCTAGGATTTGACTGTATAAGTGTAATAAATCCAGTCACACAATCCAGACCCCGTCAGATAGTCACCTCTACACTTGAATGAAGCAATTTAAGCACAAACTTCTTTCAGAAGACGGGTAGCAACGTCAATCACTGTTGCCTAAAGCCGCTTGACTTCCATGTGGAGAAATTATCCGACTTTACAGTCGTATGTTTATAATTAAACGTAATTTGGACGTGCGTTCAGTCTGCACGTGTCTGATGATCATCATGCAGTGGCTGTGAGCTGGTTGTACTGTAGTTTATCTCTCTCAAACCACATAACCATCGAATCTGGCCATCTCTCTCATGTAGATCCATCATATCCAACACGGATATCTCTATTTATCTAGCAAATACGGTCAGTTCAGTCCAGTGGAGATGAATTCAAACATGGAATCCATCATTCGGCTAATTTGATCATTATACGTTGAAGCCTGATGTAGGGTTAGAATATAATCCATGAATTCGTACCTCTAATATATTGATTTATACATGCGTTCAGTTCTTAAAACCTGCTTAAAGATATGAAAATGGCCCTTACAAATTTCTCCTAAGATTTAAAGTTGTGTGTGGATTTGTTGCAGTGGGAAGATATTTGTTTCCGAATGCGTTACTCAGTAACGGCTGCGTATATTTGCTTATTAAGAATCTGTTATCTAGAAGCGGGCGTTGTTTCGTTGTTTATTTTAACGTCGTTACCAAGCAACGGGTTCCTACATACAATAAAATTGTGTAATAGTAGTATTCGTTATAAATTTAAAATGCGGTCTCAGTGTTTTTCTCTCTTATTTGAATGTAACAATGATAATCTTTTGTTCAGGACAGTGTCTGCAAGCTGTCAAGATGTCGGCCGCCAACCTGCCCAGTTCCGAAATTATGGGATATAATTCGTAAAGGTCTTATATATCGACATCATCTCCATCTGCATATAGTGAAATAGTACATCTTAAACCCACATAATCAGACACACAGCCCCGAACATGGTGGTAAAGTGGTCGAATTNTGTTCTCCTGCCAATATTAGAAACTGCAACATTATGAACAGAATACGACCAGAAGAATGCCGTCTTGTGGGATGTGGTGCCGTGTAGATATTTTGTTAACCGACGTTTCGGAAGAACATATTATCTCTATTAGTTACTATAGGATTCTGACGATGGTGTATAAACAGAGAGATATTTGGTTTTCGGACTTTATCCATCGTCCTGGTTTTTAAGATAACTAAGAAAAACGCGACGTTCCGGAAACTGGATCTGTTTCCGTCCTCAGGTGAGGGAAAACACCTATTCTGTTGGGTCCATTAGAAAGAGCTAGCCTCAATCACTCCACATCCAGTTTCCGAAACGTCGTGTTTTTTTCTTAGTTATCTTAAAACCAGGACGATGGATAAAGTCCGAAAACCAAATATCTCTCTGTTTATACACCATCGTCAGAATCCTATAGTAACTAATAGAGATAATATGTTCTTCCGAAACGTCGGTTAACAAAATATCTACACGGCACCACATCCCACAAGACGGCATTCTTCTGGTCGTATTCTGTTCATAATGTTGCAGTTTCTAATATTGGCAGGAGAACAACAACACTTACTAAAGGGTTTCTCTCAGACCGCGCCATCGCTCAAGCGGTTACTCTTTGGCTTCCCACCACGGCGGCCCGGGTTCGATCCCTGGTCTGGTCAAGTGCGATTTGTGGTGGACAAAGTGGCACTGGGGCAGGTTTTCTCCGAGTACTTCGGTTTCCTCTGCCAATCTTAATTCCACCAACTGCTCCACAATCACCCTCACCTATCATCTGGGGCTGGTACAATAGGCCAGAAATGGCCGCAGTACAAAGGACTTAGTCCCACCCCACTATGAATAAAAAAAAGGGGATTTCTCTAATATTCCTGTCATTCTGAACAAATCTATTAATTTATCAATTGCATTGCCTCTGCGGTCTAGTGGTCACAGTTCCTGGCTACAGATCCAGATGTCCGCGTTCGATTTCCGGCGATATTAAACTCTTCTCAGAAGTAGTGGGTCTGGAACGGGGTCCACTCAGCCTCATGAGGATAATTGAGGAGCTATTTCAAGGAAATGGCGGGTCCGGTCTGGAAAACCGAAATTAACAGCCGTGGGGATCCGTTGCGCTGACCACGCGACACTCTCTAACCGCTAAATGTGGTACTAAATTCGTTGACAAGCGGCGGTCGCTCGGTCGGTATAGTTCGCTTGCGGACTAAAACCACGGAGTTTGTTTTTTTGTTTTTATTACCTCCACACAGAATACTAGTACCTAGAAAGAACCAAAAAGGAAATATTAAAGGAT